ATAGGATAATTGTATATTTTCTTAAAAGGTCTTAGTTTTATAGAAAAATAAACTGAAATATTTTTGGATAAAATAATATAATTTCTGGGATTTTCTTTAGAAATTAAAGTGACTAGGGCCATCAGAGCTCAGGTAAATGTATTCTCTGTGACCTGGGATTGGTCCCTGGAAGTAAAGGTGGAGGGAGAGAACCAATCCCACAATGTTGCCTTCTGACCTCCACGTGTGTAATATGTACCCCAGTAGTACACACATACACACACACACACACACACAAACACACATACATGCACAAACACACACATACACAAACATACACCCATGCACACACACAAACACACACATACACAAACACACACCCATGCACACACACACACACATGCACACACATATACATACACAAACACACATACATACACACACACATACACAAACACACACATACACACAAACATACATACACACACACACACATACACACACATAGTACACACACACGAGACTAATTAATAAATTTAATAAAATAAATTAAAATTGCTAAAGAGATCAGTCAGATAGGGTTAGCTATAAATTGAATAATGATTTGAATTTATGTTATAGGCTTTGTTTGATTGTTTGTATTTGAATCCTTCTTCCACTTTAAAACAAAACACAAATTAAAATAAAGATAAAACCAAAACAGCAAGCACAGACGACTGGTTACTGTTTTTAACTTTTCGTGTTATGACTTTTGTCTCTAAAAGTTCTTAGGAGGGAGCCCGCCAAGCCACAGTGCGTCTCTCATTATGTTAGCAGTCCATTAGTTTCTTTCAACTTCCTCTTCCTAAATGTATGAGGTAGGCTCAACTTTATTTCCAAATTCCAAGGCTTGCTATAATTCCCAGGTTGGCTTCGAACCCCCTGCCTTAGTCTCCCGGGCTGGGTATACGCCACTATGGCCAGATGAGCCACACTTTGTGCCCCGGATCTGCTGCAGTAGTTGCCAGCCTGCTTCTCTTGGCTCATTCATAAAGGATTACTTGTACATGTGTTCAGTGAGTTGCTTTGAATTGTGAGCCATGTTCTTGAGGTTTTATCTGTGGCTTGGCATTCCTGCAGAAAGAGTTCACATGGCTTCTGCCAGGCAGGCAGACAGATGCATCCAGAACCACTTTAAACATGATGTTTAGCGCTTATTTTTTGTGTTAAAAACTTACTTGTGTTTACATGTTTGTATACATGTTCACCACATGTCTGTGGGTGCCCTCAGAGCCCAGAGCAGGACGCCAGGTCCCTTGGAGCTGGAGTTATAGGAGGTAGTTGTGAACTGCCTGATAAGGGAATTGAACTTGGGTACCCTGGAGGAACAGTTGGCGCTCTTAAACAGCTGAACCACGTCTCCAGTCCCTGCAAATTCTTGCTTTGAGCTCACAGGCACAGATGCCCCTGGTTAGGAATTCTGTTCATCCCAGCCCCCAGAGCAGGTCCCACTTTCAAGTGAGTCTCTCTGTCGCCTCTGTGTGGGTTTTCTCTGTTTCATCCCAGGTTGTTACTAAGAATTCTGGCTTTATGCAGGAGAGTCATCATGGCAGTGTTGGGCACATGGGGCTTCTTTCATTCTGTCCAGGCTTCCTCATTTGCTGATCTTCATCCCGAAGATTGACTGGGTCTTGTGTGTGTGTGTGTGTGTGTGTGTGTGTGTTTTGCCTGAATGTACGTATTGCGAGCTGCCATGTGGGTGCTGGGAATTGAACCTAGTTCCTTGAACAGGAAGAGCACCCAGTGAGTGCTCTTACCCACTGTGCCATTTCTGCAGTCCCAAAGACTGAGTTTTGACACCCATACTTTAAGGCCCCGAGGTGGTCTGTTCATTTGCTCCTCCTGAGAAAACTCTAGCTTGCTGCTGGTTTTCTCCTGTTGTGTTTTGGGGATGGGGTCATGAAAGAATCCTCTCTTAGTTTCCTGTCAGCTCCATCAAGTGTTGAAAGGTGGTGACTCCTTATTCAGATTTCTCCTGACAGAATTCTTCGTTTCTTCTTGAAGGTCTGTTATGATAGCCCCACACAACAATTCACCAGCAACGTAGTCTTTCCCTCCATAACACAGCATATTGTCATTCAGATTGATGGGACAGGTTGCTTGAGAACTTGACTAAGAACATGGCACCTTGGGGCTGGAATAGTGACTGCTCTTGCAGAAGAACCCAGTTTGGCTCCCAGCAGCCATGGCAGACAGATGACAACTGCCTGTAACTCCAGCTCTAGGAGGATCTGCTGCTCTCTGACCTCTGGGCATCCTCTCTCTCTCTCTCTCTCTCTCTCTCTCTCTCTCTCTCTCTCTCTCACACACACACACACACACACACACACACACACACACACACACACACACAGAGGAAAGAGGTGAAAGTGCCATAGACTTGAAGTTCTCTGAACAATTCTTGTTTTCCTAATAGTCTGGATCTGAGGACTACACAAGATCACAGACAGGCAAACTGTCTGTAAGGGATCAGGCAGCAAATACAGGTGTTGAAGGCTCCTGTGTCAGAACTACCCAGCTGTGCTGCTGTAAGGGCTGAGCAGCAGCAGACACGAGCAAAGATGAAATGTGGCCGTTTGGGCACTGAGTATGTCTACTTGGAGGTGAAGGGAGGCAGGGAGGCAGAGGGGAGACTATTGAGCCACTAAGCCCTGGAGTTTAGGGCTAGCCTAGGTTACATAGTGAGATCTTGTCTGGTGGGGGAGAAAGAGCAGGAGGAGGAGGAGGAAGAGGAGGAGGAAGAAGAGGAGGAGGACGAAGAGGAGGAGGAAGAGGAGAAAGAATAAGAAGAGGAGGAGGAGTAAGAGGAGGAGGAAGAGGAGAGAGAATAGTAAACCTTTACTCACCCGTCCTGAACTCCACATTTCATACGCTTGTTAGAGATCGTCTCGGTTAGCTCCTCTTCCCCTCCCAGCTTTCCTTGCCTGTTTTTCTTGCCATGCTGGGACGGAACCCAAAGCCTCACTCATGCTACAGCTCTTCATTATTCCCCCTAACCGTTTAGAAGTATAGGAACTATGCATTGCTCACAAGCAGGCGCACGGCTTTGGCGGGGAGCCTGAAGCCTGCCTGACATAGAGTCTATCAGCTTCCTGGAGGCTCTGTGAAGAAGCAGTTAACTTTGTCTTCATTTTCCACAGAAGAGCATCAGAACCTGAAGACTCAGCAGTGGCCTCCCTGTCCTCTCCATCATTTGATAGATGAGAGGCAGGGAGGGAGACAGGCTTCTGGGGACCTTCCTAGTGACAATATGATGTTGGCTGCACCACTCCAGCCACATATCTACTTTCCTACACTCGTTCAGTTTCAAGCCAGATTTTACCGCTATCTCCACAACCACAGAAGCCTCAAAATATCTTCAAAGAATTGTTCCCCCACCAGAGTCCCCCAAAAGGAGGTCATCCTCATCCTCTGAACGACTGTCTTCTCATCTGCTTTTCGTGTGTCACTTGAGTTTAAGAGTTTTACTCGTTCTGTGTGTGATGGGTACTCTGAGTGCATTGCCTTCAGACTTTTACATTATGGAAATTTCAACCCAGGGAAACCAATATTTGTGAATGACTCAGAGATGCTTAGAGCCCATTGATAAAAGCCCTAGGAGTCAGCAGGTCCTGAAGTAACTTGCTATGTACATATGCACTTTTCGTGAGAAGTTTTAATTCCCAGCCAGCATCAATCAAGCCATCCCCCTGTCTCTTAGGCTGTTTCCTCCATTCTTCAGACAGTTCCTTTAGAAGAAGTTGAATGGCATCTTACCAGGGTCACTTGGAAAATAGAAATTGATACAATTTACTATTCCAGGCCTCTTTCCTGCTACTAGATTAAAATTTGCTCAGATGAAGCTAGATAAAATCATGGACCTGCTGCCTTGGAGTCTTATGAATTTGCTGTTCTCTGCTGCCCCCTGTTGACGTGAGCAAGCAAGCCGATCCCAAGCTCAACCTTGCTCATTCATGTCCTGGAGCCAGCAGAATAAGGATTCTCTGTTGATTTTGTTTTAGAAATCCAAATTATGGGGTCCCACCTCCACAAGACTGTGTTAGGAACCATGGAGGTATAGTTAAGCAGTCTGTGGATTCTGAAATTGATGTCCTGTTTTGGGTAGTAGTGATCTGGCTCCTTAGTCTAAAGCAAGCAAGCAAGCAAGCAAGCAAGCAAGCAAGCAAGCAAGCAAGCAAGTTTGTGTTTCTGTCCTCAGGTTCGTATATAACACTAGGCTATATCGGCATTCATTCTTGCAGCTGTAGCTGTAGCAGCCCTGTGAAGTGAGTCAGAGAGGGACAGCATACCCCTTCTACAGCTGAGACAGAGGCAGAAAAGAAATAAAATACCATGTCACTAGGTTATAAAGCTTTAAATGTCAGGGTTGGGTTCAGATACCAGGTTTCTGTTTGGATACCCACGCTCAGGACTCCTTCAGTTGTTCTGGGCTCCTTGGCTGTGGGGCTGTCCCACAGGTACAGGGTATTTAGCAATCCTAAGCTCTCCCCACTAGATGCCAGTAGCACCCCACCCTAGTTTTGACAACTACAAATCTCCCCAAACACTGCCAAATGCTCCTGGCTGAGAGTCTCTGCCCCAACTGGCCAGCAATTTTTACATTTTTTGGAGGCAATTTCCAAACAAAAAGCTTCTTTTTGCTTCTAGGCCACCTAGAGGGGTCAAAGTACCAAAGTACCAGACTGAGTGTTGATCTCCTACAATGTCTCAAAATGGACAGTCATTCTATAATACCATCTAGTATTTGGGAGGTGAAGTCAGATTTATCCAGTTGTCCCACCTCCCTCAAGGTAGATACAATCTGGACTCTCAGATCTCACTTGGTTGCTATTAAGGGTCTGCTGGTGTAGAACAGACAAGTTCTCATGGGTCAAATGTGGCCCGCCACATGTTTTATAAGTGTTCATGGATAAATGAGTGGATGGATACTTCATTCAACCACACAGGGAAAGTTTTTACCTCAATATAATTATCACACCAGCTTATTGGATTGTCTTTTTAATGAGTATAATATGTACACATATGCACCATACAAAAAATCTCGGGCCATTATAATTCTGTCAGGAGCTCAAGCATGTTCAATGAGCTCAGATACAGTTAGATAAAGCATGGTCTCAGGTCAGGACTAGTTGGGTTCATGCACATGTTATGTGGAAAGCTGTGGTATCCTCCCCCAGTTAACCTAGGACCTTAAGTTGCAGTGACCTCACCCTCACCCTTCAGACAGTGTGCCCACCCTACTAACAGTGTAAAAAAAAACACAATACAGATGGGAAGAAACACTAAGTCTTCCCATGCCTTCTCTAAAACGTTATTTAACTATGCTCCCTAAACCATGATATACATTTTACAATAATCCTTAGAAAACAACAGTAACCAGTCACGTACTTCTGCACAGCTCACATAAATGCACAGAAGAGTGGGCTCCTGGTCAGAAGTAAGGTTGAAGACTTAGAGCATTCCTGGCTTGTCCTGGAGCAGTGGGTCCTTCTCCTGGTCTCCTCGGAAGAACGGAGCTTTTGCGTGCCTGAGGAAAACACTCAGACCTTTGCCCTTGACTGTGTTCCCAGGGCAGTTTCCTATTGGCTTGTACGCCTTGTGTTTTCTGAAAACAATGTGTTGGACAGGACTTTAAAAACATCTTCAGCTTGACTAAATTCCTTTCTATAGCTTTTCTCATGACAGGTGAGAAAGAGCTAATTCCCTTCAACCCAGTCTGTTGCTTGCAACACACCAACATCTTAGGAGAGTATAGCTATTTTCTCTTCAAGCAAGAAGAGGTCACTTTGAGATTTTTGTTAAACATTACAAAAACCAATTTTGTCAAGTTACTGACATCTGGTAGCACTTTTGGGATTAAAACAAACAAATCCCAAACCACAGTAAGATTAATAGTTCCCAGTTCGGTATTCGTAGTTCAATGGATGTGTTTCTCCTCATACATATAATATGTAAAAAGAAAGAAAAATGGCACATTCATACAGACAAATGCTACTTGCTTTTGACTCTCTGCTATAGAGATGTAAAGTGTTAAAATCAGAAACTTACTTGTACAGCAAGATGGTAACCATGGTGACAAACATGGCCAGGCAGCCGATGGAGATCAGGACACCATTCACTGTTCTCAGAGGGGAGCCTGGGCCTTTAAAAGCAGAAGGAAAACCATGTGAGTTACACTCCATTCCATTGGAGGACATCTGCTTGTGATGCTATTGAATAAGCCAGCTACGCTTTCAACTCCTTTCAACACCAAGGGGCTAAAAGGCTCCCATACTTCATTGTGCTGGCCTCTGGCCTCATCTCAGACTCTGTGCCTACTCCTGTGCTAAAACCCCTGGAATTCTGTGAAATGTGCATGGGCCCTGCTGGGACCGCCCTTCCCTGGCTCATCTCAGGTTTCCTAAATCGCCCAGTGCCTTCCCAGTCTTTCTGAGGGCACCAGCTCTCCTCTGTCACTACCCTGGCTACCTCTTCCTAGGCCTGGATCACACTGTGTCCTTATTTCTTCCCTTATCTCATCTGTACCAAGGGCCACAAAGGCAGGGACTTTGTCTTCTTTCTTGTCTGTAACCAGCAAACCAGCCAGCTCTGTCTCCAACCCAAAGCGTACCTGATCATGTGAGCTACCGCTCTCTGCTCTGCTGCTATCCCCGGTCCTCCAGACCCCTCCTGGGAAGTCCTCTCTGTTCACTGAGTCTATTCTTACAATTGTCTCTCCATCATGTGAACGTGAGATCTTCTCACTCACAAACACCTGCTTACAGAATGGAACTTTGAAGACCCTAACAGGAGCCTTCACGTGCTTTCACTGTTTATATCTAGGTCTTAGTCCCAAGGAGGTCCTTTACCAAGATGAATCACTGAACAGCAAGACTTGACCCCACACCCCCACACCATATCTAGGGTGTTAACCACTGCCCTCACCCCTCTCCTTCCTCTGACCTGCTTTTTTTTTTTTTTTTTTTCGAGACAGGGTTTCCCTGTGTAGTCCTGGCTGTCCTGGAACTCACTCTGTATACCAGGCTGGCCTCAAACTCAGAAATCCACCTGCCTCTGCCTCCCAAGTGCTGGGATTAAAGGCGTGCGCCACCACTGCCCAGCTTAAATTGACAAATTCTTATGAGACTATTTTGTAACAACAACAACCACAACCACAACTACACACACAGACACACGCACACACACACACACACACACACACACACACACACACACACACACCCCAAATCCCTAAAAACAGAAACAATTAAGTTTCAGTCAATCATAAACAGCTTAATTGATGGACTGCAGGCCTCAATTACAGAAGCAGGCAGTAATGGCTGCCCCTGGGTCCTGACAGCCAGTTTTGGGTGGGGTCAGTGGGAGCCGGTCTGGGCTTCTTCTGACTCTAGCGTTGCTCAGTTTGGTGCTTAAACAAACTGTGAAATTGAATTGGTCTAAATGTTTTTCTATAACATCTGTTACTGCTCAGGAAAGCAGAGGTCCCCCTTGTTTTGTTCCTTAGCCAGTGGCTTTTATCCTGTGTAGAGTTCTGTGCTGGGCATGAAGTAGACAGCTGAATGACTATCAGTCAATAAAAAGAATTTCAGCAAAACAACAGTGGGCTTTCGGCTGAACTATTACTATTTCTGAAATTCTGATTTTGAAATTTGAGTTATTAAGTTATAAGACTTACTGGATTTCAGGGGTTTTTTGCTTTTTCTGACTCTCCACTACTCTGTGTGTGTGCATGGTTGTGTGTGTGCATGGTTGTATGTGCGTGCATGGTTGTGTGGGTGCATGGTTGTGTGTGTGCATAATTGTGTGTGCATGGTTGTGTGTGTATGGTTGTGTGTGTGTGTGTGTGTGCATGGTTGTGTGTGTGCATGGTTGCATGTGTGCGTGGTTGCATGTGTGTGTGGCTGTGTGTATGCATGGTTGTGTGTGTGCATGGTTGTGTGTATGCATGGTTGCGTGTGTGCATGGTTGTGTGTGTGCATGGTTGTATGTGTGCATGGTTGTGTGTGTGCATGGTTGCATGGTTGTGTATGTACATGGTTGTGTGTGTATGCATGGTTGTGTGTGCATGGTTGTGTGTATGCATGGTTGCATGTGTGCATGGTTGTGTGT